ACCCTCAATTCGACAGCAACATTGCCCTGAAACACTGACGATCATAGCCTTCGAGACAAAAATCACAACTAACAAATGGAAACGGAATCCCTCACGCATCTAATTGCATCAATCTAAATGCCATCATGGGCGAGCCTCACCGTCTTGAGTACCATCGCGACGGCGACGGGGCTGCGCAATGCCGCCGTAAAATAGCACACGCACGACTCCCCCGCCGACGAGGACGTCGGAGCGGCCGCAAATCCTCCTGAATCTCTGGGGGAGGGGGAGGGGGGCTCGAGAGGAGTGAGACCAAGAAGGAAGGGTGGAGAGTACAGAAGCTTCCACGGTCTTACCTCCTCACTTCGGCTACTCCGGCGACGCCGCTCCGATCCGGCGAACACAAGCAACGGCCGCGAATGTCGTCGACTCTTTCACCGGCGCCGCCGCCTCCTCTTCTCGTCTTCTCCTTCAATCGAGCGGAACTGCTTTGTAGTGTTGGTTGGGGGAAATGAATGAGACGGGGAGAGGCAATGATGGGGGTGGCCAGTCGAGGGAAACGGCGACAAAAGTCGTGCACCACGCGTGCGGGCGCGACGGCGGTTCCACCGCACGCCTCCGACTTGCAACCGTTGACGAAGGAGTGGTAAACGTGTGCAGGCGAACTGCTGCATACACCACACGTCGCCCATGTCCTACATGCAACTAAAAATTGTGTCATCGCGCCAAGATTCGTGCAGGTTACAATGGACGGCGATAAGGCGTGTGGGCGGGTTGGAGAAGTGCCACACGCGTGGTAGTTAGTCTTTTCGTTTTTTAAATAATCCCTTGATCACAACTTTCCAACCGAACCAAACTGGGTAAATTATAGTGGGAAAAGTCTAAAATAAACCTTGAGTTTGTACGCCAAGTCTGAATCAAACATTGTACTCTTAATCCCTGAAATCGGCACCCTGATCTTATTGATCCCGGTTAATTCCGACCATATTTTTGTTTGGCGCAATAAGAAAATATCTGATCCCGGCCGGGATCATTTAGTACTCTCGCTGACCACACAGTCCCACTTGTTATATAATATACTACGTCTCTAGTCAGTAGTCATTTGCCTAAAAAATATCTGTCCCTAGTCATTCTCCCTCTCGCATCTACACTACAGTTGCATCATTTTCTTAGGGACGCGAGCGGAGGCGAACATCCAGACTGGACCCTCCACTCACTGGAGTAGCAATAGAGGATGCTGGGAAAATCAAAAGGAATCATGAATTACCAGGAACTAATGTTGTGGTAGGAACTCCGATGAAGCTGTGAAGATGGCTCGCGGCGAAAGTTTATGGTACTGAGACGCTTCAGTTGAGGATGGTCAAAATTGCTTAAGCATCAAGCCATCAGCAGAATTGGACTAAGAGTATCTCCAAATATGCGCGAAATAACCGGCGCTGGATAAACCGCCAATTTGGCGCGCGAGAGGCCGCGCGGCGCGCTCCAGCAGACGTGCGAAAGTTTGAGCGTGAAAAAGATGTGTGTGCGCGGGAAAAAGCGGCAGCGCGGAGCAATTTTGGCACGCGTCGCCCAACACGCTAGTTAAAAGCCACGCGCAGGCGCCCGCCGCCACTCTTGCCTTCCTGTCGCGCCTTCTTCCTCGCCTCTTCCAGCGCCCCGCCACCGCTGCGCCTTCTCCCCTCACCTCTTCCAGTGCCCTGCCATGCCGCCGCACCCCTGGAGCAGGTCGGGCTACCGCGGTGTCTGCCCGCACCTCTGGCGTGTATTATGCGGAGATCCGCTCTAGCGATACACGCCTCAGGCTCGGGACGTTCAGGACTGCTCACGAGGCTGCCTGCACGTACGATACAGCGGCGTGGTGCCCCGGGCGGCCTCGGTCGCAGATCTTCACCAACGGAGGCGGAAGCGCCGCCACCTCGTCGTCGAGGCGGACGAGCATGCCATGGCGGTGTAGCGCGAGCACTTCCCGCAGGATGTCACTGCCCAGAACGAGTTCTGCGCACAGAGGAGGGCGGAGTGAGCCGTGCGTCGGGCGGACAAGCATATGCGCGGAAGTAACCGGCGGAAGCCCAGATCAAGCTGGGACCTACGTCGACCTGGGACAATGAAGATCCTCGGTGGCTCGCGAACTACATTATCGAGGAGGACGAGGAGTAGTTTTATTTAGTATCATTTTATTTATTTTTATTAGCATTGTATGATCTGGCTTGTGGTTTGGGGAACTATACTATGAAATTTAAAGTTCTCAACTATGTGTTGTTTCATATACATTTTTTTTCGTATGTATTGTTTAAAAAAAATTCCAAGCGTGCGTTGGGTTTTACCGTGCCTGGTGAAGCGCTATAGCGGGGCGCTAAATTTTACAGCGCCTGATAAAGCAACCACCCTTCTGCACGCCCTAAAATATTATTTTGACGCTGCAAAAAAAATTAGTGTGCCGCACTACCGTGCACCTGTTGGAGATGCTCTAAGGCTGGAGGTAGAGTGACGGCTTTGACGATCCGACTACAAACATGCACAGCGTTGCGCCTTACAATCGCTAAATCAACTTCAAAAGGTTATTGACCACGCCGGAGCACGATCAACCTGACCACGAAGGCCTATTCCTGCATGCAATCGAAGAACAAGCAAGGATATGATAAAGCAATCTAAATATTGCAAACATATATGAAGTGTTGATAAAAGTGGGGTTTCATAAGTAGTCTTTGGACACGAAGTTGTAGCGATGGCTAACTTTTAACTACATAAAACCAACCCGCGTCTAAACGATGCCTTAAGAGTTGTATTTATAGGGAAAAGAGAAGGGATTTCGTCCACCCTTGGTAAGGTGGGACTAAAACACCTCCTAAGTCGCTTTCCCTACAATATAGACTCTAAAAATATATTACATAGGTCTGGCCCAAAATAAGGTGGCGCAACACCAATAATAAGCTATGAACAAAATTTATGAAAGGCCATCTTGTATATTTCGTCCATCTTGTATGTCATCATGGTGGCTTCAAAGTCCGAAAATCTTCACTTGAACCTCCGTTCTTGTTCTATTTGCACGCACCTTCTCCGTGCTTGACCATGCTCCAATGTTCATCCTTCTTATCCGTGCTAGGCCCTCAATTGCAAGCAACACAAATGTATCTAAGTTAGGCAGCATCATATTCTCATGAACACTAGAAACATTACCAAGAAACGAAAGTACCTGATAAAACAGCAGGGGATACGAGTGTAACTGTGGTAGCCATGTCCTCATCACTGCCACAGGGAAAGGGGGTGATATCCCCGTTGGAGATGGGGGTCACCTGTGCTGGAGAAAATCCCCAGTAGGGGCCTTTCACCTTGGGTTATCCTTCACCTGCAACCAAACAAAGCCTATGTTTACCAAGCAGGCTTATAGGAGAAGAATATATTAAAACAATGAAAATATATATATTAGATAGGTAGGGAAGTCCCTTTTTGATACCAACAGACGATAATGAGCGGCGTACAACGATTGCCGGACAAGTACAACAGCTACAGTTAGCACCTTTTTCGGCAAACCAGTGGCGGAGTTCTACAAGCTGCCCATAGTTGAGGCCAGGGGATAAGCAGCTTCATAAACTGAATATGAAAAATAAAACTTGTTCCACACGCTACTGACATACCCTCCAAAGCTGAAGTATCAAAGGGTGTTTGGGGCAGCTGACTTTTGTCTCGGAAAGGCAGATGTTTATCTACATGAAATATTGTCAAATCAGGCCATCCAGATCTCTTTAACAAGTACTCCCTCCGTTTCAAAATATAAGAACGTTTTTAACACTACACTGATGTCAAAAACATTCTTATATTATGGGACGGAGGGAGTAGATATTGGATGCAATGTGGTAATCATTTTCAATCACAGAAAGAGGAACCTACAGATATAACATGCAAACATAACTATCAAAACTTGGCTGCATTTTGTACAAAACAAAAAGCTGACGGCAACAACTCGTATAGTGTCTATTTAAAAGAAGATAAATGCTAGGCAAGGCACCAAAACTAGGCACATTGTTTCCATACAAAGTTCCATAATATATTTAAGAGCAACTCATTTTTTATTTCACTTTCAAAAATTTCACTTAATTATCCATATTTATCTCTGTCATCATGAAGCAATAGGCCTAGTTACTAGATCCTAGTTAAAGCACAACATTTTGTGGTCAGCAATGTACTATGAGATGCAAACCATTACAAGGTGAACACTGTAACACAAGACGATTATGATGCCGATTTTGTAAGAGACCAAGTATTATGGAATTTCGGTAAGTTGAGAGTAAAGACATCTTATTAGTTTGATAGGTTTCGGTCAATGCACTTTTTGTACATAACTTTTGTAACAATAAACTTGATCACGTACTGATTACATGAATTAATCCCATATTTCCTAATAACAATTATGTGATCATAATGAACCAAAATCAATAGCATAAGGAATAGAGGTAATTACCTACTGTATGAAATCCTATTTAAGCAAATTAAAATCATTTAATTATCAACTTCATAGTAGAATGACAAACTTGGTATTGCCAAGTCAATCATTATCGTAGCTAATATATGCCTTTGCGAAAAAAAAAGTCTATGTATTCAACAAGAGGAGCCAGCTTCACTTACTTGATAAGTTGCTCTTAGAAACTTCTCGAGTCACCGTGGACCCTTTGAAGAAACCAAAGTGGCATGACAAGCATAACCAATCAAACAACACTTGATGTACGAAACATTATTTCCATTACAAGAAATACCTACAAGTTTGTCTGCCAAAGACAAGAGCACATATCCTGACAAATTTGGAGATACCACAAAGTCACAAAGCACTTCTATGGCAGCCTGAATCAAACGACTCCATTGCTAGCAAACTACAACAAAGTACACTACCACTGCAAGATGAGATAATAGCACAATAACAAGAACTACAACAAGAAAGGTAAAGACAATCCTTGGAGCATCTGTTCCAACCCAGCTAATCATACAATACTTCAGGTCTTCAGCACCATGACAAGCAATGGCAACAGTTACAGCATCCTCCCAAGATTATCCACCCTCAAGAACGGCAAGTTGTGTAAATTTCCCAGATTCCCTAGTATATCCTCAGTTGGATCAACATCCAAATGGAAGCTGCCCAGGTCCTCAACTCCTCCTGTGACATTTGCCCTGCCAGTACCATCTGTAGCCCGTGCCTCCTCATTTATGTTAATCTCTCTTACCTCCTCCCGCTGTCCACCTTCACCCTCCTCACCCTCAGCCCACCCATCCTGTCCAAGCATCGATGCATCAATGCCGCTCTCCACACCACCACCAAAAGAACGCCTCTTGGGCCCCGCCCCAACCTTCTTGCGAGCAGTTGTCTTCTTGACCCTACCTCTGGATGATCCACCACGAGCACTCCCATTCTGCGGCTGCCGGCCATTGCTGCCTCCACCATAGTTACTATAGTTCCTACCAATGGCACCCCCACCACTTGGCGCATTGTTCCAAGGGAAGACCTTGTAAAATGGCTTCCAGTTGCCACCCAGATCCGCCGAGTTGGGGAAACCAAGGGGGAAGAACCCCCAAGCACAGTGGTACATCTCGGTGCCCGGCACGATGGTCGGCTGTGTAGGGATCTCAACAGCCACAAACCCCCGGCGGCAAGACTCGTTTGGGCACTTGAGCGCGCGGCCAACTAGCTCGCGCGGGTACTGATGGACGTAGCAGCAGAACGGGCACGCAGTCCAGAAGTCCGTCGCCTCAGCTGCAGGAGCGGCGGCAGCGGCTGGCTGAGAGGGAGCACCAGAAGGGATGTTGGTACGTGCAGAACGCAGTGGCTGGCGTGATGGATCAGAGAGAAGTTCGTAGGCGTCGTTGACGATGCGGAGGGCTACATCCGCACCGGGGTGGGGGTTGCTGGATTGGAGGAGGAGCGCGAGGCGGCGGAAGGCGCGGGAGATGGCGCCGTGGTCGGTGGTTTTGGAGGGCACCTGGAGGACGGCGAATGGGTCAGGCTCTCCGGTATAGAGCATCGCCTGGGAGGTGAGGAGAACGTCAGCGACGGCGAGGAGTTCGTCGGCGCCGGGGAGAAGCGGATCCGCCTCCACCGCGCGCTCGGCGAAGCGCTTGCAGCCGACGAGGTCGCGCGCGGCGAGAAGCTTCGCCGCAATCTCCAGCCACCGCTCCGCTTGCACCCTCCCGCCCTCGCCTCCGCCGTCTCCACTACCGCCGGCGCCAACGGAGAAGTTCATGGTTTTGGGGGAAATGGGACAAATGGCTCTTTCTTTTTCGAGGGTTAAGTTTGCTCTTTCCTTCTGGTGGAGAGTTTATGGTGCAAAGAGGGGTGTCTTAGCATCTCAAAGGACTCCAACGCAGCGCCGGTATACTTCCGCACAGAAAACACGGACCAAGGCGAATCAACGTGTGGTTGAGTTGGTTAGGTGGACAGTGGTATCCCCAACCCACCAGGGTTCAAATCCTGGTGCTCGCATTATTTCTGGATTTATTTCAGGATTTTCGGCGATGCGCTTTCAGTGGGAGGAGACGTTCCCGTCGACGACGAGGCGCCTACGGTGACTTCGTAAATCTCAAGATGATATGCCGGCTCAGTCTCTCGGAGGTGCTAATAGGGGTAGGGTGTGCGTGTCTACGTTCATAGGGATGAGTGTATGCGCGTGTATATGAGCGCTTGTGTCTGTACTGATGCTCAAAAAAAAGAAAACACGGACCAACACGGCGACACAAAAAAACAATATGTCGTGACCTATTATTTTTTGAGAGAATTCTTTATTTGACAATATTTTAAAATGTGGTTCTCTATTTGGCCCTGAAGAAATTTTCTTCCCTGTTTGACATATATTCTAAATTTCTTTCCTAATATGGCACTCTAGTGCATTTTGTTCACTAACGGTGTTAAAGACAGACGTGAAAAATACCTTTTTACCCCTTATGCATAAAGTGACCAAAAATCTGTACATGACAATATCTACAATTATGTTACATGTTTGGTCATGTTAAATGACCAATTGAGACCCCATAATTTGGTAAATGAACTGATTTCGACCGTCAGCCCCTCAGCTCACGCCGCCGCCACCGTACGAGCCAGCAACCCGTTGCCGCCGCCGCTAGGGTTGGGGTGGGGAATCGAGAGAAATAGAGACGACAGAGATTGTTAGATGGGGATGTTTTTTCTTTTGTTCGATGTGGGCAGCGACTAGCACAGGGGTATTTTGGTCCATCATTTTTTTTGGACGGAACGGTGTAACGAGAGTCCAAGTCAGATTAAAATACAAGTGTAACCAAACTTGTACTTGAGTTAACCCGCCGCAGGGCCTCGACCTGTGTATATAAAGGATAGGCCCTGCGGCGGGTTAACTCAAGTACAAGTGATTCTGCTCCCTTGTAATCGATATATAATCAATACAGTATAAGCAAGACGTAGGCTTTTACCTCGTTATGAGCGGTCGAACCTGGGTAAACCTTGTCTCTTTCGTCCCGCTCAACCCCTTCAAGCTAACATACGTTGCGACGGCTCCACACTAAGTACTTTTGCTAGGGCATCTGCCATGACAAAACAACGACAGTTGGCGCCCACCGTGGGATCGAGGGATACGCCGTGGGCAGGAAGACTAAGAGTCGTCGTGGCAAGCTTTACATCGATGACGCTGGCTGGGGCCCCGAGGCCGACTCAATTGAGTACGGGTACCGGGTCCCCTTTGGCGGAATTCACGTCTTCATCGAAAAGATCGACGAATCTGAGCCTGAGCCGGACATCTCCACAAACCTTGTCGAATCGGCCCGGCATATACAACCCGGCCCGAAGCTTGTTTTCGTTGGTTTCACGCAAGGCATGGAGCTTCCGGGAGGATCCGAATTCGGATGGGAGACGGCCATCTACTCAGGTGATGAGTCCTCAACCGGAGAGATAGAATCAATCTACCAGCTTCAAGAGGGAGGGCTCGGGGGCTATTCCGATCGCAACGGTATTCTGGACCCTTATAAGCTGTTGGGGAACGCGGTAATTTCAAAAAAATTCCTACGATCACGCAAGATCTATCTAGGTGATGCATATTAACGAGAGGGGAGAGTGTGTCCACGTACCCTCATAGATCGAAAGCGGAAGCATTTAGTTAATGCGGTTGATGTAGTCGAACGTCTTCGCGATCCAACCGATCCAACCGATCCAAGCACCGAACGTACGGCACCTCCGCGTTCAGCACACGTTCAGCTCAGGGACGTCCCTCGTACTCTTGGTCCAGTTGAGGCCAAGGGAGAGTTTCGTCAGCACGACGGCGTGGTGACGATGATGATGCAGTTACCGGTGCAGGGCTTCGCCTAAGCACTACGACGATATGACCGAAGTGTGTAACTGTGGAGGGGGGCACCGCACATGGCTAAAATAATTGTCAACTTGTGTGTCTTTGGGGTACCCCCCCTCCCCCGTATATAAAGGAGGGGAGGAGGAGGCCGGCGGCCAACAAGGGGCGCGCCAAGGGGGATGACTCCTACTCCTAGTAGGAGTAGGTCTCCCACCTTTCCTAGTCCAAGAAGGAAAAAGGGGGGAAGGAGGAGGTGGAGAGAAGGAAGGAGAGGGGGACCGCCGCCCCTTCCCCTTGTCCAATTCAGACTGGGGCAAGGGGGGCTGCACGCCACCTCCTGGCTACCCTGTCTCTTCTCCACTAAGGCCCATGAGGCCCAGTAGCTTCCCGGGGGGGTGTCCGATAACTCCCGGTACTCCGGTTTCATCTGAAACTTATCCAAAACACTTTCGGTGTCCGAATATAGTCATCCAATATATCAATCTTTATGTCTCAACCATTTTGAGACTCCTCGTCATGTCCGTGTTCACATCCGAGACTCCGCAACAATCTTTGGTACATCATATCACATAAACTCATAATACCAATCGTCATCGAACGTTAAGCGTGTGGACCCTATGAGTTCGAGAACTATGTAGACATGACCGAGACACGTCTCCGGTCAATAACCAATAGCGGAACCTGGATGCTCATATTGGTTCCTACATATTCTACGAAGATCTTTATTGGTCAAACCGCATAACAACATATGTTGTTCCCTTTGTCATCGGTATGTTACTTGCCCAAGATTCGATCGTCGGTATCTCAATACCTAGTTCAATCTCGTCACCGGCAAGTCTCTTTACTCGTTCTGTAATACTTTATCCTGCAACTAACTCATTAGTCACAATGCTTGCAAGGCTTATATTGATGAGTATTACCGAGAGGGCCTAGAGACACCTCTCTGAAACACGGAGTGACAAATCCTAATCTTGATCTATGCCAACCCAACAAAATCCTTTGGAGACACCTATAGAGCACCTTTATAATCACCCTTTTACGTTGTGACATTTTGTAGCACACAAAGTGTTCCTCCGGTATTCGGGACTTGCATAATCTCATAGTCTGAGTGTTGGGGAACGTTGCAGAAAATTAAAAATTTTCCTACGGTTTCACCAAGATCCATCTATGAGTTCATCTAAGCAACGAGTCTAGGGAGAGAGTTTGCATCTACATACCACTTGTAGATCGCGTGCGGAAGCTTGCAAGGTGATGATGTAGTCGTACTCAACGTGATCCAAATCACCGATGACCTGCGCCGAACGGACGGCACCTCCGCGTTCAACACACGTACGGAACAGCCACGTCTCCTCCTTCTTGATCCAGCAAGGAAGGGAGGAGAGGTTGAGGGAGATGGCACCAGCAGCAGCACGACGGCGTGGTGTTGGTGGAGCTGCAGTACTCCGGCAGAGCTTCGCTAAGCACTATGGAGGTGGAGGAGGTGTTGGGGAGGGAGAAGGAGGCAACCAAAGGCCAGGGCGTTCAGGTATGAAGTCCCTCCTCTCCCCCCACTATATATAGGGGTGCCAAGGGGGGGTGGCCGGCCCTAGGAGATCAAATCTCCTAGGGGGTGCGGCGGCCAAGGGGGGTTTTCCCTCCCCCCAAGGCACCTAGGAGGTGCCTTACCCTCCTAGGACTCTTGCCCCCCTTAACCCTAGGCGCATGGGCCTATGTGGGGCTGGTGCCCTTGGCCCATTAGGCCAAGGCGCACCCCCTTACAGCCCATGTGGCCCCCCGGGACAGGTGGACCCACCCGATGGACCCCCGGGACCCTTCCGGTGGTCCCGGTACAATACCGATAACCCCGAAACTTGTCCCGATGCCCGAAACAGGACTTCCCATATATAAATCTTTACCTCCGGACCATTCCAGAACTCCTCGTGACGTCCGGGATCTCATCCGGGACTCCGAACAACATTCGGGTTACTGCATATACATATCCCTATAACCCTAGCGTAACTGAACCTTAAGTGTGTAGACCCTACGGGTTCGGGAGACATGCAGACATGACCGAGACTCTCTTAGTCAATAACCATCAGCGGGATCTGGATACCCATGATGGCTCCCACATGCTCCTCGATGTTGTCATCGGATGAACCACTATGTCAAGGATTCGATCAAACACTGTATGCAATTCCCTTTGTCAATCGGTACGTTACTTGCCCGAGACTCGATCGTCGGTATCCCAATACCTTGTTCAGTCTCGTTTCCGGCAAGTCACTTTACTCGTACCGTAATGCATGATCCCGTGTCCAACACCTTGGTCACATTGAGCTCAATATGATGATGCATTACCGAGTGGGCCCAGAGATACCTCTCCGTCATACGGAGTGACAAATCCCAGTCTTGATCCGTGTCAACCCAACAGCTACTTTCGGAGATACCTGTAATGTACCTTTATAGTCACCCAGTTACGTTGTGACGTTTGGTACACCCAAGGCACTCTTACGGTATCCGGGAGTTACACGATCTCATGGTCGAAGGAAGAGATACTTGACACTTGCAAAGCTCTAGCAAAACGAACTACACGATCTTTTATGCTATGCTTAGGATTGGGTCTTGTCCATCACATCATTCTCCTAATGATGTGATCCCGTTATCAACTACATCCAATGTCCATAGTCAGGAAACCATGACTATCTGTTGATCACAACGAGCTGGTCAACTAGAGGCTTACCAGGGACATAGTGTGGTCTAAGTATTCACACGTGTATTACGATTTCCGGATAATACAGTTATAGCATGAATACAAGACAATTATCATGAACAATGAAATATAATAATACTTTTATTATTGCCTCTAGGGCATATTTCCAACAGTCTCCCACTTGCACTAGAGTCACTAATCTAGTTACATTGTGATGAATCGAACACCCATAGAGTTCTGGTGTTGA